TATTAAAATTATATATATTATATATATATATAATATTTTTTTTTTTTTTTTTTTTTTGTTCTTGAATATTATAGCAAACTTCCAAAAAAGAAAAAAAAAAAATAAAGGGCGCACAATTTTATATTAAAAAGTATTATTATATATATGATGTATATAATATATATTAAATACAATGTATACTTTATAATTTAAAAAAAAAAAATTTAACACAAAATAATTATTTTTTTAAGCCTCAATAAATATGTAATAAAAATATATACGTATATTGTATATTAGTATAATATAATATAAAAATATTTAGTATATAAATATTTTATTTCATTATTATGAATAATATTTATTATAATTTAATGTATTTATATATACATATATTATTTATTTATTTATTTACATTATATTATATATTTTTTTTTCTTACATATTATATATATATATCTTCTTTTAGGTGCAACATCCAATATAATATGAGAAGAGCCTCTTCTCTCTTCATATTATTTTATATTTAATTTATTTTTATTTTATTTTTTATCGTTTTTTAAATAAAAAAAAAATAAATCATATGATAACAAATATTCAAATATGCACTTCTAAAAAAAAAAAAAAAAAAAAATTTATCTACATAATTTTTTGTAAAGTACAAAACTTATTCAAAATAACTTTTCATTTTTAAAATATAAATCCAAAATAAATAATTATAAAAATAAAATATTATACTTAATGTTTAATATTCTCCCTAAATTTTATAGCTTGAAATATAAAGAAAATATTATATATAAATATAGTAAGTTAAAAGGATAAAATAAATAAATAAATATATATATATATATAATTAAAATGATCATATGAAGGATTGATATTGTATAATGTACAGTAAAAAAAAAAAATTAAATAAATAAATGTATATATATACATATATATATATATATATATATATTTTTATTCACATTAATTTTATTGTGTATAATGTTGTATATGCAAATAAGCATAACTATTATTATATATATATATATATATATTTCATTTTTCTATGGACATGTGTATGGAGGCCTTCTTTAACCTCTCTACCAAAACGTTCCCAAGACCTACGGACACAGAAATTACTCCAAATGTATTAGGCAAATCATTTTCTTTTAATAAAGAAATAGCTGACTCTGAAATAATTTTTGCAGTTAACAAATATCCAGGGTCTTCATTTTCCCCACTTAAATATAAATAAATGCTTTTCTTTTTTTTTTCACAGTTATCATTATCTTCTCCAATAATTGTACATTTCCAATATGCTTTTTTCAATTCATTCATAGTCTTGGGCTTATAAAACAAATCAATATATTTATTTATTAAATAATCCATAAAAATAAAGGATTGAAAAAAATTAAATATCTTACCACATACTTTCTTAAAAATATACATGGGTGTACTTATATGTGTATCATATTGTTTATAATTTATAACTACATCTTTTCCATACTTATAATTTAATAAATAATTAGACCATAATACATATGCTTCTTCTATATTAGAATAAGGTGTATCAAAGCAATAACCAAATTCTTTTTCATAATCGAGAAAACAATTTGTATGTATTTCTTTTTGTTTTTGTTCTTGCTTTTTTTTTAAATAATTATTACCACAAACATTATGTTGTACATCATATTTATTATCACATAAATAATATTTATGATAATTATTTTTTATATATTTTCTAAAAAGTAAAGCACTTTTTATAGTTGTTTTTCCAATAGTTCTTAAATTATTGCCCTCATTACATAAGCGTATTTTTATGACTGGACAAGCTTTTTTATACTGTCGAAAAAATTCTTCTTGAATAATAAAATTACCTAAATCACTAATAGCTGAGATAAAAGATGCACTGTGAATTATTTTAAGTTTCTTTGCTATTGCTATATTATTAAATTCTTTATAAATATTTAATATAAAATTATGTTCACCACACACATCTACATAATGACAATTCCCTTCTACACAAGCTTTCACTATATTGTATCCATATAAAATATAAGGTCCTATCGTACTTATCACTACTTTCGATATTTTACAGCAACTTAAAATTGATTCAAAAATGTTAATATCTATTTCTTTTTTATTTATTTTTTTTAATATTACATCATGTTTCTCTTTTACAGTATACAGAAAGGTGTCTAGTTTTTTTATATTCCTAACACCACATAATAGCTTTATTTCTTCACTTTTGATCTTTTTCTCATAATTTTCCAAAAAATATTTTAACACCATTTGACCGGTATATCCTGTACACCCCAATAATAATATGTCATATTTTTTATCGTACATAAGGTATAAATATAAACAAATAAAAATATTTATATAAATGAAGACACACACAAACGTATATATATATATATATATGTATATAATTTATTTATAATTTTTTTTTTTTTTTTGAATTTTCATTAGTCCTATATTGTTCTTTTAAATTTATCCAATAAAATATATTTAAAGTAATATTAATTATGAAGCATATATATTAAAAACAAACGGAAATATGTTCACATATTATAATAATATTACAATTTATTATTTTTAAAACATTTAAAAGAATGCTTCAAGAAATATACAACATTTACATATTAAACCTTATTACTAAGCTCCGAAAAAAGAAAAAGAAAATATAAACATATTAAAAATACATATACATGTGTCTGTTGTATCTTAGAATCATATGAAATATAAAAGTCACCGCACTTTTTGTAATTCCTCAAATATGGAAAATAATATTTACTTATTGTAATTTATAAATATAAAAAGGAAAAAATTACATATTGCATACAAATTAGATATTATTATTAATAAATAAAAATAAATCCCAAAAAAAAAAAAGTACAACATATATATATATATATATATATATATATATATATATATATATATATATATACATATATTTATATTTATATCAATCCATTTTGCAAAACTTGATTACACAGATACTTTAAGAACAACAAACTTTTTTGTAGATACATATATAATTTTTTTTTTCCATCAAATGGGGAAGAACATGAATAACAATATTTAATATAAAAAAAATTTATTAAAAATGTATTTTAATATTTTAAATTATTACTTATTATCATCATATATATATATATTATATATATATGTGTGTATAAATATAGAAATATGGTATTTCTTAAAATATATAGTAAAAAAAAACAAACAAAAATGGTTAAGAATTTTTATAATTTAAATATATCAAAATAAAATAATTATGTAGAATATACTCTTCATGTATTAATAAAATAAATATTTTTATACATAATATTATATATATATATATATAATTTTTTTTTGTATTTCCAAAATGTTCCATATATTTTTTTTTTTTAATATTCGTTAGATGGTTTAAGGGGTTTTTATTATAACAGCCAATTAACTATTTCCTTCCAACCACAAAAAAAAAAAAAAAAAAAAAAAAAAAAAAAAAAAAAATAAACTAGCTAAAATGGAAAAATTATATTTTTATATATTTCTAATTTAATTAAAATAATTAAATATATATATATATATATATATATATTAATTTATTTTTATTTAATTTATATTATTTATATTTATATATTTTTTTATTTATTAATTTTTATTTCTCTTACAATATAAATGAACATATATATAAATAATATATACGTATCATATATTTTACGTATATATAATATATTTTTTTTTTTTTTGAAAACTATAATATATTATTGGATTAAGAAAAAAAATAGTTTTACATTTATTCTTAAAAATGAGATTAAAATAAATATATTAAAGTAAAAAAGCGAAAATTACAGAAATGATGGGAACTCATATTTAAAGGTAAATTTAAAAAATTTAAACATATATTTATATATATGTAAAGTATTATATATATATATATATATATATATATATATAATATAATATATGTTTACATATTTTATTATTTAAAAATGTACCTCTATTTTATAAATATGAATGATGAGAATTTATTAGCAAATGATTTTGATTTTAAATCAAATGATTGATTAACCTCTAAGAAGTTCTGAATATTTATATGAAATATGAAAGAAATAATAATAAATAAAAATGTACGTAATATATTAAATATTACTGTTAAAAAGAAAAATAATAAAATAAATATGTATACACCAAAAATATATAATATTATTTGTATAGGAACTTAGTATTCCATTTTGCAAACTACCAAAAAAAAAAAAAAATAAAATAATAAATAAAATAAAATAAAATAAAATGAAAGTAATATAAAATTATACGTATAAAAGATATATAGATATAATAATATTTCCTTTTGAACGATTCGAAGAGTTACTATTCAAATATTTTTAAATAAATTTTGAAATATATTTATAATAATAACTTCAAATCTGTTCATATAACAAATGTATATACGGTGGCTTTTTAAATTATTTATTTTAGAAATGTCAATCCATATATATCACAGCACTAATTTTTAATAATTATTTTTTCGTATTATAGTATAAAATACTATATAAGATAATATATCATATTATATATATATATATATCTATATATATCATATATGTTTTATTATTTCATATTTTTATCTTTTCCTTTTTTTTTATTTTTTAATAGTTTATTTATTAGGGGGGTTAATATAGTAATGCTCCTTGCAATAGTAGAACCAAGAAGACATGCTTAAAATGAAATGAAAAAATATTTTATTAATCTATTTAATTATTAGTCTTATCCTTTGTATTATTATTATAATTTTTATTTTATTTATGAGGGTGGCACACAAAAGAGTGTTAAGAAAATAATGAAGTCCATGTCATGTTGTATAATAAGATATTTTTTTTGAGAACAACAAAAAAGTATTAAAATATTCATAAATAGATATGAGGTTAATATGAGAGGAAATCACACTGAAAAAAAAATTTTAAGCATATTGTTCAAATGAAAAGAGAAAATTTTTTTTTTTTTTTTGTCCAAATATATACACATTTAAAATAAATTATTATGCATAAGCAATGAGTTTAAGCTCAAAACATCCTGCAAATATACATACACAAAATGAAAGAAAGAAAGAAAAAAAAAAAAAGAAAAAACGGAAAAAAAGGTCACATAATTGTATGTTTCTTGTTTTTCCTTTTTTTTTTTTTTTTTTTGTTTCCTTTTTCTTTCTCCTAATTTGTGTAATTTTTATAAAAACAGGAAGGAAGGTCTGAGATGCTGCATTTAAAGAATAGAAAAAAAAGTCAATGAATTTTATTTAATTTTTTTTTTTTTTTTTATTATTCTTATGAATTAAAAAAAAAGAAAAAAAGTTATAACATTTGTTGTTACTTTTTATTTCATATATATATATATATATATATATATATATATTCTTTAATAAAATTTTTGAGAGAAAAAGTATTGAAGAAATATTAATTAGTTACCAGAAATACCAATCATATATTTAAAATTTCGTAAGAAATTTTGTGTATGGTTTTGAAAAAGCTAATAAGCAAGTATACATTGGTGAGTTCGATTTTTGAGGTTTTTCTTTATTCCTACATCTCATATATCAATATATTTTTTATAATATTATACGAGGTGATAATAAGAAAAATAACTTAATTCAGACTACTCCTAAATTCATTGCAACAAAATAATATGTAATATATTTATTAAATTGTATATATAATATAATTGATAAAAAGAAAAAAAAAAAAAAAAAACTAAATAAATAAAAAAAGAGAAGGAAAACGAATTAACATTAATTTTGTTACGTGTAATAAAATGGAAATTTTATATTTGCACAAAATAATTTATATAAATGTAAATATTTAAACGAATTATGATATTTTTTTTTTTTTTTTTTTGTATATTCTTTAAATATGTATATAATAAAATATATGTTCTTACATATATATAATATTATATATATATTATTTTTTTTAAATATTTGCGTTTCATATAAAAATGATCAAATATTTAAAAACGAAAACTTATAAAACATATCAAGTTAAAAAAAAAAATATATATATATATATATTTCTGTTTAAATGTTTGCTAGGTATTTTATAAAACATATCATATTTTTATTTCATCACAAAAAAGAAAAAGAAAAAGAAAAAGTGTCTATATTATATAATATATATTATATATTATATATAATATATATTATATATATTTATGTATTCATATAAATATTGTAAATTCAAATAAAAACCTAAATATATATAATATGTAGAACATAAGATTCAAAAAAATATCAATTTGAGTAATTTAAAGAATCATTTGTTCCATTTTTTAAAAATATATAAATAATATATATTTTGTTATGTATATTATGCTTATTATATATATTATATATTAATATATATATATATATTAGGAATATATCCGTAGGTAATTATTATTTAATTATATATATATAATATTATAATATATATATATAATTTTTTTTTTTTTTTTTTTACGCATATAAAAATATATATTTTTATGTATAGAAAACATTACATTTTTAAAAGTATATAAAAAAATATAATATGAATATGTTAATTTAAATTTATTCTGCCTTTTCTTCAATTTATTGTTTTTATATTTTTTTACATATAATATATATATATATATATAATATATATATTTTAACTTGTAATATATTTAAATTACTATATTTCATAATGACAGAACATTAATTTGACGAAAAAGTGGAAGGAAAAAAAAAAAAAAATAATAATAAAAAAATAAAGAATAAACAAAAATCAATAAAAAGGGATTAAAATAATTGTCATAAAAAAATTATATTATATACTTTAAAAAGCAAATGACTGATTTTTTAAGGTATGAATAAAATGAATATATTATATATATATATATATATATATGTAACCTAAGATATATTTATTTGTTCATATAATAGTTAATATAATATGAATATAGTGTGTTTATTTATTTTTTTATTAAAAAAAATGTACTATAATTTATATTAAATAACATTTTATGTTATGATAAATTATATATGCTGCCCTACATTTATATCAAGATTATGTTCATATATATATATATATATATATACATGCGGAAATTTTTTTTATTTTTATAGGAATATTCCTAAACCTAAAAAGAAGGCGTATGATGATGAAAACGAGCTGCATGATTTTAAAGAAAGTAGTAACTGTATAAAAAAAAAAGAAGAAATAAAAAAGAAGAATCAATGCTATGAATATTTAAAAAGAAGACATTTAAGAATTACATGTAATGAAGATTTTCAAGGGGGAGGAGCATATCCTGAAATTCATATGAATCAATATCCGAATAATATTGGATTAAAAATTGATAATAAAAATAATATTGTTTTAAAATATATTGACGAAAATAACAACGTAAAATATGATAATTTAATTAATGAACAAATACATATATATAACAATGAGATAGATAAAATTGAACCTAATGAAAGAATAAATAAATTAAGAAAAAAAAAAATTCTATCAGATACAAAAGATAGAGAAGAAAAATATAATGAACCTACTTATAAACCTGATAATGATGAAGAGAATGAAATTATTGAAAATACAAAAAGAAATATTGAGAATATATTAAATGAAAAATTAAGTAAAAGTATTGTTAATAAAAAAGAAGAAAAATATTATAGATATATACCACAAAATAAATTAAATAATAATCTAGAAGAAAGAATTATCAAAGTCGTAGAAAAAGAAACAGATCCTTTAGATGTATCGAAATTTAAACATAAAAAATTACCAAATATAAAAAACTCTCCAGATTATCCTATACTTAGATCACCTACAAGGAAATTAAATAAAGAAGAAGAAAATGATTGGAAAATACCACCATGCGTTTCTAATTGGAAGAATAATAAAGGATATAATATTCCTTTAGATAAAAGAATACAAAGTGATAATAGAAAATTGAATAATGTTGTAGTGAATGAAAATTTTGCTCATCTCAGTGAATATTTATACGTTGCTGAGAAAAAAGCGAGAGAAGAAATACAAATACGTAATAGTGTTATGAAACAGAAAAAATTAAAAGAAAAAGAAGAAAAAGAAAATGTATTAAAAAATCTTGCTATACAAGCAAGAAAAGAAAAAGGTCTTGCTCATAGCTCAATCATCAATGATAGAAAGAGAGAAATCGAAAGAGAATATAAAATAGAAAAAAATCTTAAAAAAATGAAAAATTATGAAAATAGATATGTAGAAGAACAAATAGCTCTTAATAAAGTTAATGTTAGTAAAAATAATAATATTCATGATATATCCTTATTCAATATTAATGAACAAAATAATGTTACAACTACACAAGATGATGATACTTATCAAATTTATGACACAGCTCTTTTCAATAATAAAAATAATGCTAATATATATAAATTCTCAAGTGAAAGATTAAGAAAAAATGTTCAAAAAACTGAAACACGAGATAATATGGAACCTGTCAAATTTATCAAGGATATATCCGATCCATTTGGTCTCGACAGTTTATTATCCCAAGCAAAAAAAAAATAAACCAAAACATATAAATATAATATATATATATATATATATATATATATATGTATGTATATATGGATGTATGCTTTTTTTTTTATGTATTTACCTTATATTATTTTTTAATTTTTTTGTTATATAAAAAATATTTATGTTTATATTTATATTTATGTTTATATTTATATTTATGTTTATATTTATATTTATATTTATGTTTATATTTATGTTTATATTTATATTTATGTTTATTTGTTTAATATATTAATATAGATATCCAAATTGTTTAATTAATTATTTATTATCTTCTTTTTTTTCTTAAATATTTTTAAAAAATTAAAAAAATTAACATAATTTGTCTAAAATAATTTTTCCTTGTTTAAAATAGGAAAATTACCGATCAAAACAAAAAAAATTTAATATAAATAAATAATATATTACAAATAAATAGTATAATTTAATAATATAAAATATAACATAATCAAAACAATAAAATTAATACGTTTTACAAAATTAGCATATTATAATATAATCATAAAATAAACACACATATATATAAGTAAAATAAAAACATTTTTTTTTTTTCTTTGGGAACATAATTAAAAGGATTAAAAAATTTTAAATATATATATATATATATATTAATAAACAATTTAATTAAAAGCGTACCGAAAAAAAAAAAAAATAATAATAATAAATTATAATATAATATGATATATGATATAATATAATATAATATGATATAATATAATATAAATACTTGATAACTTCAAAAATAACATTATATTAAACAAATTATTAATACACAAAATTCATACATACATACATATATATATATATATTAAGAGAAAAACAGAAATTTTTTTTTTATATGGCACAGCAAATTATAAATATATATAAAAAAAATGAATTTTTTTTTTTTTTTTTTTTTTTTTTTTTTTTTTTTTTTTTCTTTCTAAAAACCAAAATAACCAGATAAACTCAAACTGTTATCTAGGTTTTTAAAAGTTTTAAAAAAATTAGAAATGCGTGAAAAATTATCTAGTTCATCTGACATTTGATCAAAAATGTTATCAAATTCTTTACTACCATGATCTACATTATTTAAATAATAATCGTTTGAACAATTATATGTATCACTTTCATCTGATGAAGAATATATCCAAAAATTAGAATGTGTATATATGTGTTCGTATGGGGTTCCTTTTAATATATCATTATTAATAGCATCTATGATATTTTTATTTAAATTTATTTTATTTTTTAAATTAATAATTTTTACAACAGTTCTTTTTAAATTTAATGGCAAACTTATGCTTCTTTTGAATTTCTCTTTATTATTTCTTTGTTCATTTATTTTTTTAATACGATTCTTTCTTTTTATTATATGATCACTATTTACATTTTCTTCTTTCTTATTATTATAATCAATGTTTTTTTTTACATCTATACTAACCTTTTCATAATTATTAATATCCATATCAATAGTTGAAGTACTATCCTTTTTTTTTTTTTTTTTCTTTTTTTTTTGTTCATCCTTTTTTCCTGATTTCTCATTTCTTTTATCATTTTTAATTAACTCGTTTGAAATATCATTTGCACGTAACGCCTCCTTATTAATCATATTCTTATCATACACACTACCTAATTTATTATTATCATCATTATTATTGAGTACACATGTTTGAGCTTTCACATAAGGTATATTATAATATGTATAACATAAAACAAGCAAATTACAAAACTTAAATAAATCAAATGGATTACCATTAACATATATTACAGCATATTCAATCGAGGAAAGAAGAGTTGATATGTCTATTTTTTTTTTTTTCTTATTTATATTTGTTATATATATTAAAGATTCAAAAACTGTAAGTAATTTAATATATATTGTATAAATTTTTTTATATATATATATTCCAACATTTAAATATTCTACGAATAACCATAAATGAGCATCGCTCCTACCTAAATCATAAATCTTTTTTATAACTTTTTCTTCAGAACCCTCTAAAGCTATTTTAAATAGTTTCCTCATAGAATATACATTCTTAACAAAATATGTTTTATATTTATCATATAACTCATCTTCAATATTTGTTTTTAAGTCCTCAACAAAATCACTATCATTACCTTCTAAATATTTTA